GCTTCTACTTGTTGACTATAAGTCTCAAATAAGTAAAAAATAAGGGGTATCCCCCTTATTTATATATTTTGGCATTATACATGTTTTTGCCGCTCTCGAATTTATTGTAAACTTGTCAATTTTCCCATTAATGTCCATTTCTTTCGGCATATTTTGCAGCACTCCACTTATACTTATTTTTGGATCCTTGGTTAGCATTCGGTAGATTCTTTTCCTTCCCAAGTATAGTCTCCGTTTTGTGAGTATATTCAACTTTATATAACTATCTGGCCTATCTATTAGAATGCTCTACCAACCATCATTAGACTTTCTTTTTGTAAGGTCTTTGTGCGCCAAAATCTATAGAATAATTTCCATTTCCATTTCCCGTTTTGTCCCTTTCAGCAGCTTCTCAGAGGCATGACTTACATTACATTCACTTCATTCTTGACAGCAGAATTCAATCCTTGCCTGAAGAGTCATAATAGTTTCAGAATCGAGACGAATCAAACACAAATACACTACTTTGAACTCATCTTTGAACTAATCCTTGTGCTTCTTCGACTGATAGCACAATTTTTGTATGATTACAGCATTTGGGCTAAATGGAGGTCTACATCATGCCTTCAACAACAATGCTTTGTATTACTAAGAGTTGTAGTCATCCTAGGTCACAAAAGGTGATGTAGGACTGATAGTTGATATGATATGAGTAGGCCTCAAATTAAAAGTCTATTTCACATTGCTTTGCCCTCCGGAATGCATTTCCACCCAAGGTGGACTTCAGTTTTGACTTCGCCTAGATCTCAGAAGCACCTCAGGCGGACATCAATCTCGGGTAGCGCAGTGTGTAACCTACCTTTCCCACAATTATATGAGATTAACAGAAGATAAATTCCTTACTTTAATATAAGTTGTTTGACTTTGTTTTCGGAACTTGGTCATATTGGTAGGAGGACCTAGAGTAACGCACCTATTCCGGAGTCCGTTGTATGCATGGCAATTTTCAAAGTCGGACTGTGGACGTGGTACCTTCTCAGACGTTTCGCCGGTATCATCAGTGAGTCTTGCCATTCTTAGCATCACACTACGACTCATTAAAAAGACAAGTGTTGCCTATCCTTTGACCAAATGTATGCTAAAAAGCTGTGGTATCTCTTCTGTCCTGGGCTATCCTCGTACCACTGTTTTACTATCACTATTTTTCCTTGCCTATCTAAATGTAGTGTGGTGTACTCTCTTGAGCGGCTTTCATGAGAATCCTTCACACTTCATGCTGGCGTTCTCACTCACATTCACCGTTGTGCTGGGAATGTTGTTACGAAGTCCTTACATAGGTCTTATCAGAGTCTCTCTCTTGCCCCTTAGGATCCGTCTTATATCTCCCTGGTTCAACTATTTCATTCTATCCCAGCCGTCCCATCTGTGCTCCATAAGGTGTTATTTCTCACACTGCGTTTGGGAGACTAACGCCGCTGAATAATATTCATGGTGAAGCCTTTGCTTCATGGACCACGTCTATGGTAAAACAGGCATATTGTCAGCCAACTAGCTCTAGTCTACACCGCGTCTATCCTGTTTCTATCCCTAATATCAAGTCTATGAATTGTTATGCCCTAGTCTCTTGCCTGCCAACCCACAAATTTTGTGGTTCAACATTGAACCTAATCAAGGCAAGCAGTACCACAACATTTGTGGGTTGGCACACAAGAGCCTAGGGCTTAGGACGTAATAGACTTGGTATTAGGGATAGAAACAGGATAGACGCTGCGGAGACTAGAGCTAGTTGGCTGACAGTAGGCCTGTTTTAGCATAGACGTGGTCTGTGAAGCAAAGGCTCCACCATGAGAATTACCCGCTACCTTTAGCCTCACGTTAGTCTAGCAGACGCAGAGTGTGGAAAATAACGCCTCGTGGAGCACAGATGGGGTGGCAGTGGTCGAGTGAAATGCTTGAACCAGGGAGATAGCAGACGGATTCTACGGGGTAAGAGGGAGACTCTGATAAGACCCAGGAAAGGACGACTGCTTAACAATAT